GGATATTGTCGTTGGTCTTTGCATTTGTTACTTTATTTGCAAAGATATGTCTAGCCATGACATGTACCCCTATGTGTTGTCATTTTCCTTAACTTACGTGACATTTTTTTAGCAATGATATTATGAACGGGCGTTGAAATATTGTGTGTATGTGGAGTACGTGCCTTTATTGAAGTAGAATTAAAATGACTGTCATTATGTCTTCCGTGCATATTTTAATGTGCATAGATTCTTGTAAGTTGCCTTTTGGTGAAGTTATATGTGGTATACCTTATTGGCGGTATAAATGTTCATTATGCAACACTTAGCCACTTGGCCTTTGACATGATATTGTATTGTTGCTCTGGATTCGGTAGTGTGTTTCTGCCCGTGCAGAAATTAATATTAAATTGTATATGTACTTGATATGATTTGATGGGCCTTTGAGTGAGCATGTGCAGTGTTGGTTACGTCATAACGTGTTGTTGTTCGATATCTTGTTATTGATTAATTCTGTTTATCCGAAGACTGAAGGCGTTCACCAGAAACGGTAATTGGTATGATTTGATAGGCTTTTGAGTGAGTCATAACGTGTTGTTGTTTGATATCTTATCAGTGATTAATTTCATTTATACCCAAATATGGATATATTTTTTAATGAGTGTCTGTCTGGGAATTTTAATGACTTCCTGTTGTTTTCACGATTATAGGATGAATTATTCGTTTTGAAATACCGATTGCTTAATAATAGTTTTACCGCGTAGTATTTTAATTGCGTTTATTTTTCACACCAGAACATGTCTTCACCTAGCCTTTTCACCCCATACGTTTATTATAATATAAATTATAAATTATAAATTATAAAGCATATTATTTATATATTACAAAATATTAGTTGCTCGTCAAATACACCAACTTGATGTATTTTTTTAATTTTAGTAAATCTGATCTCGAAGTACACACATTTTAATATATTTCATGTATATTTGTACTCATGGAAAATAGTTAAAATCACTTATCACAAAAATAATAGAGAATAATATTTTTGAGATGATAATAAATATTATATCGATTTGTCTGAAAAATTACAAAAAAAAAAAACAATTTTATGTTTGATTCATGGTACGTGCGAATCTGTGGGACAAAAAGAATATTGCGCTGACATCATCTTGAAAGTAAAAGGGATATCATATTTTAAAAACTAAGTTAAATATTATTTATTTTATTTATCTTTAATAATAAATAATGGGTATTGGTTCTATTTTTGGTTAAACTAAAATCATTATGAAATAATATGTCAACCTATATCTACTGTGTAAACTCAATTAACATTAAGTCAATTGCATCGTTTGTTGTTATCAATTCAGAGATGAGAAAAAGTATAGTTTCAAGTTCTTTCAGATGATACCTATAGCTCTTTTTATACATTTAATTAAAACGTTCGTGATAAATAAAATTAAAATTGTTTATAGAATGTTTTACTTTAGCTCATTTTCTTTCAGTATCTTCGTTGAACACTTTTATCCGCTTAGTGGTATTTTCCTTTTGATATTGTAACTTTAGAATTCTTATCAACAGTTTCACTGCAAAATTTTTATTCTCAGTTAGGTGCACAGTTTCTCAATTATTATATTAATGTTATATTTTAAAATAAACAAATACATTTTGGTGTACAATTATCTGTCTTGCGACTTTTTTTTCTAGTTAATAATTTAATTGAGATTGTATCTTTGTCAAACATAACATTTTTCAAATTTCTCAATGATTTTTTGAGAATACTTAAAATATCTGGGAAAAACTACTAATATTCAAAGTGCATGTTTTTAAAGTACATTTTAAGACAGTTTCAGTAGCAAAAGACTTAAAGATTTATTTTTTGGAACATGATGATTTATTATTGTATTTGAATTTAAAGACACACAGCCTAAGTATCCCAAGTAGCCCTCCCAAATCTTGTTACCGATTTATTTTTTATTTATGTTTTATTTAATACGTACATTTATTTAAAAATCGTAATTTCTTATATTTTTTAGAATTTTAAGCAAAAATAATATTATGCTATAATTAAATATTTGAATATATCTGAATATATTAAAATATGTACCTTGAATAAGGATTTCATTAAAATATTAAAAATAGTTCTACTTTTTCATTGTAAATAATACAAATATTTTTTCTTATTATTATTTAATAAAAGTGTGTATAACCAACTATAAAACATATTTTACGATTTTTGAAAAAAAAATTTTAATATTAATATTATACTGCATTTCAAAGTGTAGAATATGAACGGATATTAGATTTTAATACCTATTGAATGTTAAAGAATAATTATTGAATAAATAAGCAAAAAATACAATATAATAAATTAAATTACTCTGCGAGGTATATTATTAATATAAGAAAAAAAATAAAATCTGTACTACTTTTGGTTGTTTTAGAAGGTATATATATAATTAATATAATATAATATATAAATCTTATTAAATTTAACACGTAACAACTAACAATTCAATTCAAACGATGTAATAACATGATTAAGTTATGATCTTTTCATTTATTTATAAGATATTTTACTTAGAATAATCTTTTTAAAAATGGGTTTAATGTCGTTTTAACTAAAATACCATATTCATGTATTATAAATAAACTATGTGAGTTATTTTACTTTTATCCTAATAATAAATATTTATTGATTTGTACCATTTACTGTTTAATTAAACTAGATAAGTACCAAATCTTAGGTATTTACTAATTATTTCATTACATTGTTGTAAGACCTTACTATAAATCTCATTGAAAGTTTTATTTCCTGGCACATAAAGGTATAAATGGTCAGGTTTTCCCACCCTAGATTACACTTCGGTACATAGTATTTTGTTATAATCTTTATTAAAATACAATTTTTATATTGCTTTGGAACATAATCCAACATTATTTAGAATCTTTTTAACTTGTAAATGGATACACGATTTAACACTATACATCATATTATGTAAATATTTGTTATGAATGAAATATAACATTTGATTATTTTTGGATATAAGTTTCTCAATATTTGGGAAATAAGTATATACCTGCGTACTTGCCAACCTACGTATGACATTAAGAATAATAGATTTATGTGTATCTGTGCTACGGGGATATAGAATAAACTTTGTCGGAACTCTATAGGGGGAAATTAAATATAAATAATAAATAATCATTTTTTTTTTTATCAAACGAAGT